GATCTGAATACGATTTTGGGTTTGGACGGTAGGATCTTTCTCAGTGTATCATCCTCCTTAAGTATATCCCAATTTTAATTGATATTATTTTTTCATTTGGTGACTTTTGTTGCTGTAATTAAAAACTAAAGGAAGCACTATGTCTTGTTTTTCTTTCGGTTTATATTCCATCATGGTATTTCTGTCATTTTCAATTAGAGTGTCTAAGGTAGTGATATTGTATTTCTTTTTAATTAATTTATCTTTTAGCATCTGAGCTTGTGTATTAAAAGTAATGTTGTCTGTGCAATTTCTCAAAGTTGTCTCAAAGTTGGGCTCCGCCCTTCAACACTGTGGTTTTCTTGTCCATTTTTAATATGTCTTATATGTTTCTCCCACCTGATATGTGCTGGTCTTGTTGTTCTTCCAACAGAATAGAAACCACATTTGCAAATAAGCAAATAAATTACTTGGAATTTTCTCAGCTGGTCATCATGCACCAATGTCCTATTTGAGACATTTGTGAAGCCAGTAAATCTAATTTACCCCCATCAAACCATATATTTTTGAAAAGCAGACACCCTAGGGTATTTCAAATGGTGGTATTTTAACACTTTCATGCATTAATTCTATCACCAGTCTTTGTCAAACCTTTGGGTATTTTTTTTTTCTCACATTGTACTTTAGGCATGGATTCCCTGTTATGTGTTACTGACAAAGAACACCCCAATATGTGTTCAGAAACATCTCCCAAGTACAACAGTGCACCCAATGTAGTGCCCCCAATGTATAGGTTTTATGGGTTTTTTGCAAACTTACAGGGGTCCAATGTAGGGCTTTCCCCTTTTCCATGTTTGCACATTGAAATTTGCCAGATTGGTTTGCTGGGCCTATGTTGCTTTTGAGACCGTATAGCAGCCCAGGAATTAAAATTAACCCCATCATGGCATACCATTTGTAAAAGTAGACAACCCATGGTATTCAAAATAGGGTATGTCTAGTCTTTTGTAGAAGCCACTTAGCCACAAACGCTTGCCAATTTAGCATTCATATTTGTTTTTTGCATTTTTTTTTAAACACAAAAACTACACTTTTACTGGTGATTTCATTGTTGTGATAAGTTTTATTATTTTAAACACTTCTACTAGTGTTCAGAAAAGTCTTTCAAGTATAACAATACCCCCCATGTAGAGGTTTTATGGTGTCACTATAGAGCTTGCCCTATTTAGTTTGCCAGATTGGTTTGCTGGGTCTGTGTTGCCTTTTGAGACCATATGGTAGCCCAGGAATGTGAAATAACCCCATCATGGCATACCATTTGCAAATGTAGACAACCCAGGGTATTTATTATAAATGTTTTTTCTTCAATATATATAATAAGTTTGTGTGTGTGTGTGTGTGTGTATATATATATATATATATATATATATATATATACACACACACACACACATATATATATATATACACATACATACATAAAAAAAATATTTAAGGATAGCACTCCAAGGACTATAACTTTTATAAATAAAAACGGTCAACGTTTCAGCTTGATCCCCTCAAGCTTTCCTCAGGGGACACTGTGCACAAAAAATATCCGAACATATAAAGCATAAAACGTAAGACTTACTCACCCCCACCTGTGTAACATCTGACTTTCAGGATGCCCGGACCTGCCGAGGGCTGCCCGACGTGAGTCTGCAGCCACGTGGTGTCACGCACGATAATTTGGCCAGGGGTCGTTGCCATAGAAACCTGGGTATACAAACAATTATAAATGTAAAAATACATAAAAGCAACCATACTAGCTGCTTCACGGCAGGCCGGTGCAAGGATTTTTGCCACCCTAGGCAAAAAAAAATTTGCCGCCCCCCCATATGTCCTGCCCATCATGTGACATCACAATGCCCCGCCCATATGCTCTGCCATATGGGCCAACGCCAGTCTTCACAAAGTGTCTTTTATCTGAAAAGACAGTGTGTTTACATTAAAAAGGCTACAGGCACAGGCTATGCTATAGACACCAGAACCACTACATTATGCTGTAGTGCTTCTGGTGACTATAGTATCCATTTAATGTGAGGTAAATTAGAGATTAGTACCACTAATAATATATTGGATTGCCTACTTACCACCAGATGAGGACAAGAGGCTGATGATGGGCTCAGTCTGGCTCCACAGGTCTAGTGTAGAAAAGGCTCTCTGGAGACTGTAACAGTGCTCACAACAATTAACGAACAGGAAGCAACTCCATTTTTTAGGTCCCCTTACAGAGCTCACGGTCTGGGCCCCCAGGGCTTGACTGTGAGTATGCCTACAATGCCCACCCATAAATTCAGCTACATGGCCCACCCATGAGTTCTCTCACAGGAAGTGGAGTGTATGTGTGTAGGGGATGTTTTATGTGTTATTGTAGAGGATGCAATGTGTGTGTGTTCTTATAGAATGTAGTGTATAGGGATACCAATTTCTGTAATGGTTGTAGTGTATGTATAGTGAATGCAGTGTGTGTTTGCGTGTAAGGAATGCATTGTATGTTTCTGGGTGTGTGTGTGTAAGGGGTTCAAGGTGTGTTTCTGTGTATTTAATTGAATGCAGTGTGTGTCCGTAAGGGGTGCATTGATTGTGTAAGAGATGCATTTTGTTTCTGTGTGTAAGAGAATGAGTGTTTGTGTGAACGTAAGGGATGCATTGTGTGTTTCGGGTGTGTCTGTGTGTGAGTAGGAATGCATTGTATGTTTCTGTGTGTGTGTGGGGGGGTGCATTGTGTATGTGTGTAGTGTAAAAGAGAAGGTTTGTGGGGTAGGATAGGGACTGAGAGGGGAGCAACTCTTTATTTTTTATTTTTTTCATAGTGCTCTCCCCTCCTGTCAATTATTGATTTCCCCTTCCCTCCTGTCCCTCCGTGTTCTCCCCTTCTGTCCCTTAGTGCTCTCCCTTGGCCCCCTGTAATCCCCCCTTGGTGGTCTTCTCACTCCCCCCTCTCCCCCTTAGTGGTCCTCCATCCCTCCCCTTAGTGGTCCTCCCTCTCCCAAACCCCTTAGTAGACATTCCCCTCCTCCCCCACCCCCTTAGTGGTAATCTCCTCCCCTCAGTGGTCATTATCCTCTTTCTCCCCCCCCCCTTAGTGGTCCTTACCCTCCTCCCCTCTCCTTAGTGGTCCTCCCTACTTACCCCCCTTTGGTGGTCCTCCCTCTCCCAAACCCCTTAGTGGACCTCCCCCTCCTCCCTCAGTGGCCCTTACTCCCCACCCCCCCTCCCCCTGTGTTCCTTCACCCCCCTTCCCCAGTGGCCCTAACTCCCCCCCTTCCTCCCCCAGTGGTTCTTACTCCCCATCCCTCTCCTCCCCCAGTGGTCCTTACTCCCCCTCCCCCAGTGGTCCTTTCCCCCCCTCATCCCCATTGGTCCTTCCCCCCCCCCCAGTGGCCCCTAACTCCCCCTCATCCCCAGTGGTCCTTTGCCCAGTGGTCCTCCCCTCCGCTCCCCAGTGATCCTCCCCGTGGTCCTTCTCCCCAGTGGTCCTTTCCCCCTCCCAGTGGTCCTTCCCCAGTGATCCTTCCCCAGTGATGCTCCCCCCTCCCCCTGTGGTCCTTACCCTCCTCTTCCCTCCTGTCTATGTAGCGTGGCCGGGCGGCGCAGAATGTGGGACAGGAACTTCTGTTTCCTGTACCCGGCCGCCGGCGGTCTGAAGGGAAGTGCCATGCTACATTGAGAGACCGGTAGGAGGGAGCGCTCTGCGCTTCCCTCCTGCCGGTCACTCATATCCGGCCGCCCTCCACAGCAGTGCTGCGCCGCCTGAGGCTTGTAAAAGCGCTCAGGCGGAGCAGCATGAGGGGCCGCCGGGCGCAGGGATCCGGCGCCCCCTGCTAAGGTGCGCCCTAGGCAGCTGCCTAGGTCACCTTACAGGTAGCGCCGGCCCTGATGGCAGGAGAACAAAAGCTGTGTACATACTTTCTATTAATCTCAATCGGCATAATGACAATCAAAATTATAAACATACTTTCTGAATAGTGATCTATTTGAATTGGAAATAAACCTGAGAGCAACTTGCATATTGGAATTCAAATTTACAATGATCTTACTATAAATCAAGACTCATAAATCATAATAAAGAGAACATCGTGTTTAGACTTCCCTAAAGGTATAAACAGAATTCCAACTCTTATTTAAATAATCCATCAACTCTCTTTATCTAAAACGATAGAGTACTGCATATTTATATATTAGTATATTGAGGCAACGACCAAGTCCAATTATACTGTAACCATGGACATAAACACGAATAGGTAGAATATAAATACCAATCCTCCAAACAGAATTGCCATGGGGTATAAACTGGACCTCAACTCCCAATTCCATGATCCATCCACTTAAAAATAGTGGAGTGTTACTAAGGCTACTAAAAAACCTAACAAACCAAAAGTAGTAATGCTACTGAAACTGGGCGTAGATATAATGAATATCTTACAAATTACATAAACACCATTAAAATACTGAATAATGAGAGCCCTATTCTACATTCAATATATGGCTAGTAGAATTATTTTTATAGGCTTACCCAAATAAATTTACATTATTAAGTGAAATCAAAACAGAGCATAAATCCCCAAAGAACCATTTGGTCACATATTCTCACTCAATGAAGGATCTAACTAGTCCAATCACAATGATGTCCCAATGGTCAAAAATTTTTCACAAAGGAACACCAAACATTACTTTGGATCAACCTTACTCCAATATCCTGTTCAATATGATCATACCTATAACAAAAGAAACTGAAAACAAATAGGCAATAACAGTTCTAGATGAAAAACAACGTAAAGATAATCACATCAATTGATAGTCACTATAGGTAAACGATTGGTTAGCCTCTCCCCCAGGGTGTGCTCACAATCACACCACATGAGTGACAAAATGGAACTATATACAACTTGAAAAAATGTAGCGGAATGATGTAAAAATGCATGCCTATCCCCCAGGGTGGGCATCGCATTTCATCCACACATTAATCAATACAAATATTATAAAAATGCTGAAAGAGTGTATTTCTCATTGAGACCATTTGGATAAACAGTTCTCAAAGTTCTAATCCAATAAAGTTCTCGTTGTAGTAACATTTTCTTCCTGTCCCCTCCTTTTCGCGGGACTGGTATGTGATCAATAGCCATCAGTTTTAGGGTTGGTAGCGTGTGTCCTTGTTCCAAAAAATGTTTGGCCACTGGGAGGTCTGATTTCTGGTCTCTATATGCCACTCTTATGCTCGATCTATGGTTACGGATGCGTTCCCGTAAAGGTAAGTCTGTGTTGCCAATATATGTTAACCCACAGGGACACCTTAATTTATATACCTCTGCAACACTGGTGTCACCCTCAACAATCATGAAAATATCGTCGATATAACAACCACATATCATGATAATGTCCTTGAATGGCTCCAATATGTGTTGTGATTCAAATCCAAACATGTAGCCATTGGCATATATTGGAGCCATGGAGGCTCCCATGGATGTACCGGCTAGCTGTCTATACCAATCTAGTTCAAAATGAAAATAATTCTGTGTGAGAACCAATTCCAAGATTTCCATCACATAATCAATGGATGGATCTTCATATTTCTTAGAGTCAAGGAGAATCTGTCTCATGGCTTGTACCCCTCCTGCATGAGCTATGATCGTATAGAGACTGTTTATGTCGCAGGTGACCAATGATACTGGTTCTATTGGTAAATTCACAGTAGAAATAAGATGAATGAAATTCGGGGTATCTTTAATATACGTAGGTAAACTTTCAATTGTTTCCTTAAATAGGAAATCCAGCCATCTTGCCAGAGGTTCCAAAATGCCCCCAACTGCCGATATAATTGGCCTTCCTGGGGGATCTTGAAGATTCTTGTGAACCTTGGGGGGTGGATAGATCATTGGTGTTCTAGGATTTGACTGATGTAAAAATTCCCAGAGGTCCTGATCAAGGAAATCTTGTTCCAAGCCTGTCTGTAAAACATTTTCAATTAAGCATTTTACTTGGATAGTAGGATCCCCATTCAGTTTCAAGTAAGTATTGGAATCAGACAATTGGTTTAAGATTTCCAATCTATATTTGCTATAATCTTGTATGACGATACCCCCACCTTTATCGGCTGACCTAATGACGATGTTCTTGTCCATGGCCAGTGATTTGATAATTTCCCTGTCTTGTTTTGAACAGTTGGAATGATGTGGATGAGTGTTTCCTAAATGATCAGTAGTTTCCTTTTTTACTGATCTCAAAAAGGTTTTAATAGTTGATTGATTGGGCATTGGATCGAAAGTGCTCTTTTTCTTAAATTGTACTATTCGTTCCTCTAATGGAGAAGGTTTGTTCTTAAAGAAATCTTTAAGTCGCAATGTTCTACCGAACTTGTAAAGTTCAACCTCCCAGCCCAATGGGTTGAGTCTGGCTGTGGGTACAAAAGACAGACCCTTACTAAGGAGTGTTGTTTCTGCTACTGTCAAGATTCGAGAGGATAAATTGAAGATTAGTATTATTTCCTCTGACCTGGAGGTTTTCCTCTTGCCCCAGAAGGTTCGCCCCTTCTGTCCACATCTGGTAATCGCCCTTCTTCTGAAGTTGTAGTTCTGTTCCGATACCGGGTTTGTATTCCTAAATGATCTGAGCTTGTCCCTTCTAAAAAAAGGTTGCACCTGTTGAGTTCTTGCAGTTGTGTCTTCTCTGGTATCCCTGTTGTAGTCAGATTCCTAACTAGATTTTCCGGTTGTTTTGTCCATAGTGAGTTGCCTGGGTCTGCGTATTGGACTTTTCTTCCTTGCAAATCTGGGACGGTCACTAGTGCCACTTAACCACTTATAGACTCTGTGCTCCTTGTAGTCAGCTGACACTTTATCTTGTTTTTCCCTCTTAAACCGAATGAGGTCAGTTTTATATATTTTTACACTGTTCTCCAACTTCAGTGTTGGAGTTGCCTCAGGTGTTGCTAATAATATAGCTTGCTGAGTCTCAAGTTCAGTGATCCTCCTTCTTCTGTGTATAAAGTCCTCCCTGACATCTTCTATAATGATCAACATAAGGTCTAATGAGCACTTATTTAAAACTGAAGTCCACTTTTTGCAGACACCAGGTTTTAATCTCCCAATAGTTGGTATATTGCTTACCCTGAAGCTTCTTGGGATCTGCAAATTCCGATGATATTCTGTCAGGAATAAACCATGAAGATCTAGATCGGTCTCTCTTTTTTTCAATCTCACCAATTCAAAATAAATGTCACATAAAGAAGTAGTATTTGGAAGATCAGACGTAGTTGTTTCCCATCTAATTCTCTCCGCATCGGTTTTACTATATTGCCAAATTTCTGCCTGTTCAGCTCGTCCCCCTGCTAACGTGAAAAAATCATCCATGGACACATTAGATTAAATAATGTGCCACAAAAAAAAAATTGGTTTGGTTTGCTGGATCTGTGTTGCCTTTTGAGACCATATGGTAGCCCAGGAATGTAAAATAACCCCTATCATGGCATACCATTTGCAAATGTAGACAACCCAGGGTATTTCCAGTCTTTTGTAGTAGCCCCTTTTTATTTGTTTATTATAAATGTTTTGTTTTCTTCAATATATATAATACGTGTGTGTATATATACATATGTGTGTGTATATATATATATATATATATATATATACATACATACACACATACACACACACTTTTATTTCCTATATATGTATATTATAATGAAAGCATTTTATAATATATTATACATATATAATGCATATATATGATTTCACTATAAGTTTATTTTGAGATATACATGTATATATCTCAAAGTACACTTATAATGAAATCATATATATTTTTAAAATATTATAAATGCTATAATTATTTTATAATATATTATACATGTATATGTATAATATATTTATTTTATTTGTTTTACTTTTTAGCAGCCTGAGGGACTTTCTGACAGCTCAGACAGTCCCTCTGCTGGCAGCTCCTAGACTCCTATTGCAGCGATGGGATCATGGTCATCACATGGCCCTGGAGGGCCGAGGTGGCCGGAGGTGCGGCAGGGGACTGCTGGGGTACCCAGCAGTCCCTCCCCCCCATCCGTGATCGCTGCGGATTGCCGGTCCAGGTAAGTCCAGGGCTCCTATTTGCTACGGTCATACAAGGCACGTCTGCTGTCTTTAACAACCGTTTTTCACCTAGTTCGTCCACTCTTGTTAAGCGGATATACATATATATAAATATATATATTAATATCAAAATACAGTTAGAATAAAATGACATTTATAAATAATATTTTTTTAAATGATTATTACAGTTTATTTATTTTTAATTATTATTTTCATATATATATATATATATATATATATATATATATATATATATATATATATGAAATGGGATGAGGCACCTGTGCCAGAGAGGGGTAATATATATATATATATATATATATATATATAAAACAATGTTTTTCTTGGCACTCACCCTTTCAAATGTGTAGCTCAATATCGCCTGGGTGCAATCCCATGTAGACAAAATATATAGAGGATAAAGAGATGCACTCTCAGGACTTGAAAAAATAATTAATTTATTCCAGCAGGTATAACATCAAAGTTTGCCGACGTTTCGACCCATTCGGGTCTTTCTCAAGGTCAATGTACCTGTGCTTACAAGCCATTTATATAGGACATAAAAAGAAGTACTCACCAATCTGTGAAGAACCCCCTGAATCCCTCCGTGCACACCCGGAAGTGAAACCGGAAATAGAACCCGCGATCACATGATCCATGCATAAGTGATCGTGTGGTGTTGCTAAGATACCGATGGGAAAACAATTAATGATAAGATTGGTATATATCTCATAGATGTGCAAGTGAAATGTCTAATATCAATCAAATGGTATGTATATAAAATCTAATTAAAGTGCAAAGTGCATAAATCCATAAAATGCAGCCTAATATAAGAAAGTGAGCAAAGATCATAAGATCAAATATACTGTGTAAAGTGTCACCATATATCTAAGGAAGTGATCCAAAATAAAAAATGTTATGTTAAAAACATTTCACCAACCATGTCAAGTTTAGAAGGCATTTAGCTGAAGCAGTCTATAGCATCAAAAAACTAGCAGGCTAAATAAAAAAGAAATAAAGCCATTAGAATAAAGGCTCCAAAAACCAATAAGGATCAAAAATATACTTAGAGAAAAAGGAGACCATACGATTATTCAAAAAACATTATTACTAAAGAAACATAGAGAGCACAATATTTTCGTTAAGTCCTCTTGGTGTCACTGTGTCCAGCCGATGGATCCATTGTGCCTCACGTTGAAGTAATTTCCTTGATCTGTCACCCTCTCTGGACATTGGGGGGACATGATCAATAGCCGTGAAACGTAACAAAGGAAGTCTATGTTGCATATGTAGGAAGTGTTTAGCGACTGGCTTATCACTATACTGATCTCTAAATGCTGTTGTTATGGTCGACCGATGTCCCCTTATGCGGTCTCTCAACGTCAAGTCGGTTTTACCAACGTCCGAAAGTCCGCAGGGACATGTGATCATGTATATCACATGGTCAGTAGTACACGTGATATAATGAGATATTTTAATTCACTGACCGCTGTGAGGATGAGCAAAGGTCGTACCACTGACCATGTGACTACATGTCACACATCCACTGCATTTATAGCAACCTTTCTTCAAAATACTCCTCGGTTTACGGTAACAAATTTCTGGGTCACTCTTAACCAGAAGGTCCTTTAAGTTTTTATTTCTTCTGTAACTGATAACAGGAGAACTCATGAATGTATGAGGTAGTGATTTATCTGAACGTAATATATCCCAATGTTTTTGGATAGATTGTCTTATTTTCGATGTTCCAGTATGAAAAGTCATGGGAAGATAAATTTTTGATTCTTTTGGTACCTTCTTAATTTTATCATTCAATCTTTCTTGATTCCATATATTCAAAGCTTTAGTTTGTGCTATTTGGAGAGTTTGTGGACGATAACCTCGCATACGAAATCTATCCCACATCTCTTCCAATTGAACTCTTCGTTTTTCGGTTTCTGTATTATATCTTAATGTCCTTAAGAATTGGGAGATGTGGGATAGATTTCGTATGCGAGGTTATCGTCCACAAACTCTCCAAATAGCACAAACTAAAGCTTTGAATATATGGAATCAAGAAAGATTGAATGATAAAATTAAGAAGGTACCAAAAGAATCAAAAATTTATCTTCCCATGACTTTTCATACTGGAACATCGAAAATAAGACAATCTATCCAAAAACATTGGGATATATTACGTTCAGATAAATCACTACCTCATACATTCATGCGTTCTCCTGTTATCAGTTACAGAAGAAATAAAAACTTAAAGGACCTTCTGGTTAAGAGTGACCCAGAAATTTGTTAAAGTAAACCGAGGAGTATTTTGAAGAAAGGTTGCTATAAATGCAGTGGATGTGTGACATGTAGTCACATGGTCAGTGGTACGACCTTTGCTCATCCTCACAGCGGTCAGAGAATTAAAATATCTCATTATATCACGTGTACTACTGACCATGTGATATACATGATCACATGTCCCTGCGGACTTTCGTACGTTGGTAAAACCGACTTGACGTTGAGAGACCGCATAAGGGGACATCGGTCGACCATAACAACAGCATTTAGAGATCAGTATAGTGATAAGCCAGTCGCCAAACACTTCCTACATATGCAACATAGACTTCCTTTGTTACGTTTCACGGCTATTGATCATGTCCCCCCAATGTCCAGAGAGGGTGACAGATCAAGGAAATTACTTCAACGTGAGGCACAATGGATCCATCGGCTGGACACAGTGACACCAAGAGGACTTAACGAAAATATTGTGCTCTCTATGTTTCTTTAGTAATAATGTTTTTTGAATAATCGTATGGTCTCCTTTTTCTCTAAGTATATTTTTGATCCTTATTGGTTTTTGGAGCCTTTATTCTAATGGCTTTATTTCTTTTTTATTTAGCCTGCTAGTTTTTTGATGCTATAGACTGCTTCAGCTAAATGCCTTCTAAACTTGACATGGTTGGTGAAATGTTTTTAACATAACATTTTTTATTTTGGATCACTTCCTTAGATATTGTCACGATTCGGGGAACCAAACACGCCAACACACACACACACACAAA